TTGTGCACTTTTGCAGCAAATCAATTCCAGAATATTCATGACAGATTATGTATGGAAGCCTAAGTGAATATTGCATTGTTATAGTGTTAGATGTAAGGAAAAAGTTACATTGAACCATTAAAAGGATACATTCTATTTTTTGTATAGAATTTGTAATATTACAACATTAAGATGGTAATGAATATTGTTAATTTATTAATGAATGGTAATTCAATAATGGATGTTGTTTATTTCTTTGTTATCATTGATATTGCGAAATTAACATTGTGAGTGTTACACTTTTTCTAAGAGAAAATGCAGTAATGACCGTAAAATAATTGAACATAAGAAACATGTCTAATATGCATGTTTCTACAGATATCTGCATCCTTGATTATGATATACATTCAGATTTTTAGAAGAAGTACATATTGGTTGTCCCAGATCTCTAAGTAGCTTGATTTATATGTCTTGATTGCCAAGATTGAAGTATGGTGCTCAGAACCCACGTAGTATTAAATGTATATGTGTTTTTTGTTAAGACATTTGAATGTGATTATGCATTATGGCACAATTCTTCAATTGGTGTTACCCAATTGATAAACTTACCCATGAGGTTATAATATATGATTTTTTCAGTTGTCTAGTCATATCTAGATCTTGCTTTAAAGTGAAACCTAAAAGTTTTAAAGGAAACTTTACATATATATGTGTAAATACATTATACATTTATTTTCTTAAACATTGACTGCATATACACATTCACATATCCAGGGGATATATGAAATAAAATGATAAGTATTTTGTAGGATCATTTCAGTTTGAGCATTTATCATTACTTGAAAGCTGAATTAATTTCAAATTCTGTTTCAAAATACAATATTATTTTCAGAAATACTAAGATAGATTCATACAGGCTGCATGTTTTTCGAGTTCATACAATATAAAGTTCAGTAAAAATGACGAAAGAGGCATATTTAACTTGAAAAGAAGGCATCAAGACACTATTGTAGATTTAGAGATGAGATCATATATATGTGCAATATTGTATATTGTGCAACTGTATTGGAGATTTTTCTTGATACTTATATGTGTGATCTGTGCTAAAGGAAGTTTATTGGATAAACCCCATTTTTTAGTGTGTTAAATTACCTTTTCTTACACTTTAATGTTTGTATGGTATGCCTGTGTTCTATAAAAAAAAATAATTATATGTAGTATTCTTTTATTTTTATCTTTCTCTTTTTATTACTATTTTACAACAACTTGCATACGCTTAATAAAATTATTTTGCATTTTTTTACGTTGTTTTACTTAAAAGAACATCTTTCCCATACTATTCAGTATATTCTTAGGATTCTTGTAGTCTTTGCAGGACCTTCACTAATCCTGGTCTTTTCTCGTGTAGGAAGTACTTATCTCAAGAGTTCTTACATGAGATAACTTTAACTATTGTCTTGATTTGATTTCCCGTTATGTTCAATTTTGATGAGTTATGAACAGAGTTGAAATTTTGCATAATCATTTACTATGTCTTTGAGTGTTATTTTTATCATTGTATTCCTATGTGAACACCACATTTATTTGCTTTGATATCTACTCATAGACTGTTGTCCCATATGAACTGTTGTTCCATATTTCTGTATTGTTTTTACTAGAGAGAAGAAACGTTCTATGGTATTATTTAACTAACTATTTTTTGGCAAATATTTTAACCTTCTGATATTACTTGACATTATTCATTGTGGATTAAAGAAGAACTAGCAACACCTTGCCTGTCATGTACCTTGGTTTCATATTAGGGCTGCAGGTTAACAGTTGAACATTAATTCATTTCTGATTTTCAACTTTTTTTTTAATTCTCATCTTCATAACCTTTAGGACTTTTTGATCATTTTTCTAATTATTGCTACATATCTGTTACAATATATAATATTTAATGTATCATTTGTTTTCTGTCATGGGTAAACACAGGCAATATGAAATTAATTCTCAAAATGGGATGCAGTTTTTTTTATTGGGTCAAGAGATGAAACCAATTAAAAAAAACGTTTCAACCATATATAGCTAATTATATATGAGTATGAGTCAGATTTAAAAAAAAATTACAGCAAACGAAATGTTATGCACAATAACACCAATGAAAGCAGAAACTCAGATGAAATATAAATTTAATATTTAATGTCATTATGCAATGTGGGGAAAGAGTGAGTAAACGCCCCCCCAAAATAAAATTCATTCAGAAAACGCCTATGTGACCAAGTATAACGTACACGGGCTATCTGTAGTTCCATTCATTAACGGGAAGAACATTAGTAGAACATTTCACTCGGCTGCAGTTTTACGTCGCGTTCGCTCACTTCCCATAGCTTCTTCGCCAGTCCTTCGTCCTCGGCTGATGAATGACACTCGCTTTCCTACGTGAGAGGAAATCCAATCATGATAAAGACCTTTCTACTTTAAGCGACCGATTATTAATGTACAACAACAAGCATTTCTGTTTCGCGTTATGCATGTTGGA